CTGAACATTGTCAGTGACCTCTCGTTTTATATCCCAATGGCTTTGTCCATAAGACTGGTACTTTGGTTGTTTCAATTCCCAGCTTAAATCTTATCAGATATGCCAACAGAGTGGAAAAGAGATTCTTCTTCTAGTTTCTAGCTTAAAAAATAAATGCCAGTGAAGGACTATGATTGTTTTAACTTGAGTTAATTGCAGTTTCCAGAGCACTTCTTGAGTGGGGAGAGGTGTCCACCTTTCATATAATCATGTGTCAGAAAGGTGGGTCATGTGACCACCTATGAAAGCAAATGAATAGGAGGACTCTCTGACCAAGGGAGGGGTTATGGGTTGACAAATATATTACTGTCCGCTCCACACATAAGTACAGCACACAATACTCATGAGATAGATGCTGTGATTCGCTCATCTATCTCTGAGAAATGGTGACCTTTCTGAGAAACAATTAGATAAGCATCGAAATATTCCAGAGTGCAGTCTGACCTCAAAGAAACACTTTGAAGTAAATGGGCCTGAGCTGGAGGAGTGAGAAAATCATACCTCAAACCTGTATGTATCATTAGCTCTTGGATGATCATTTGTCTGTGAAAGTTAGAACTCTAATGTTGATTTGCAATTGGCTCATAATCTTTCGTCTTCTTTGAAATAATGATGACTCTTTTGCAGAAATACCCATTGGAAGATGGCAACTTTACCATGTAACACTGAAAGCGACCAACAAATTTAGAGTGGTGTTTGGAGGAATCAGAGGCTCTGGCTCATCATCGGGTGGTCTGTCTATTGATGACATCAATCTTTCAGAAACACAGTGCCCTCATCATATCTGGCATATAAAAAATTTCACACAGTTCATTGACAGCCCAAATGGAAGTCTATATAGTCCTCCATTTTATTCTTCTAAAGGTTATGCCTTTCAGATTTACTTGAATCTAAGCCATTTGACTAATGTAGGGATATATTTCCACTTGATCTCTGGAGCCAATGATCATCAATTACAGTGGCCGTGTCCTTGGCAACAAGCCACAATGACACTCTTGGATCAAAATCCTGACATTCGACAGCGTATGTCCAACCAACGGAGTATAACTACAGACCCATTTATGATCACTGGTTCGTGACTCATTCTCTTATTGCTGATACATGCTCATTGCTCTGGGAGGGGTGGATGATGTGGCAAGGGGAGACTGCACAGTCAGGTACCTAGAGGACTATGAGCCCCAAATCTTAGAAACAAAAGATATTTGGGGGGGGGTGTTGTGCATCGAGTCTCCTAGAAAGGGGAGAGTCAGGAATATCAGCAAGGGCCCTGAGAAATCCAGAAGAAGATATTGACACTATTCCGGGGGATTGAGAACCGTACCTGGATTCCTAGTGTTGGGGAAGGATGTTGATTTTACAGTCTGAAGGACCTGGGTTCAAGTCCAAGGTTTGTTCTTGACTAGCTATGTGACTCTGAGCAAATGATTCTGTGTCTTCAGTTGTAAAATTGGGAAGTACAGGCGTTGCTGTGTTCCAAATGTCTGACTTATGGCAACTATTTGCCATTTAATGTTATGTAAATTTGTCTTCACTTTGAAACAAT